CTTGGAGCCGGAGTAAGGAGGTGACTTGCCTGCGCAGGGGAGGTAAGGGTATTCGCCTTTTTATTTTATCCTTTATCTCTCTTCCCCTTTTTTATGTCTGTCTGTAACCCCTCTGTCTACTGGCTTAGGCTTACATATACGTACACACAGGCTACGATGAGCTTGGCCCCCGAGATGGATTGGAAACAAGGTTATTGTCTGACATATATTCAGAATAGATAGGATACAGATGCACATGCTAATAAAAAATGCGAGAGTGACCGTACCATTGCTAAGGGGAGGTTAAGAGAACAACGGCTTTTCATCTTCTGCAACACGAGGGAGGCGCCTGATGTAAATTTACTTTTGCGTAGGACTGCTGCCGCTGCAATTGACACACACACACACACACACACTATAGTTTGAATACATTTGTTTTCATCATACGAAATTTCCCTATCGGATATCTGATTAATTTAGATTTTTTTCCTTTTCTCTTTTTCTGAGGCTAAGGTTTGGGCTATTATGTATAATAAAGTTACCTACATCTTCCTTTTTTATTTTTTGTTAGTTCTTTGTTTTGTCACTGTCTGACGTTTTCCTAAGTTTCTGTATTAAACCTTTACATTTCATTTTTTCGCGCCGACTTCATTTATTTATTTTTTTTTTCGAGCCGACTTTATTTACGTTTATTTTTTTCCCGCCAACTTAGTGCATTTTTTATTACCTCATCTAAGAGATTGTTGATTTGGTCAGTGTCAAAAATCTACTTCGTTATGGAAAAATGAGCCTCCGTTTTGGATGTCAAAGGTGATTGACAAGCCGGCAACACATTTCATAAAGATATATTAAAATAAGGGATGACCATTTAAAAAATAAAGATTTATGTACGATATTGTTCTCTTCAGCAAGTTAGTAGATTAATTATAAAACTCAAATAACGATTTGAATAGAGAAAGTCTGAAGGTTGAACTAAAGATGAACCACAAAAAAGTCATGTTCCAATTCAGGCAAATATTAGTACAAAGTGAATCAAGAAGGACTGTCAGTTCAATTTAGAATAAAAATTTGGATGGAACAAGACAAATTCAGTTCAATTCAGCCAGGACACACACTGAATTTTACCCACACCATCTCCGACTGACATGCTGAGAGGAGCTGTGAACTTATGCCATGACGTATGGGGTTAAGAACATGGACTTCGTCTTAATTCCTTGCGAGAAAATCAGCAATTGCTTAGAGAGAAAGGAGAAGAATGAAGCTGATAATTAACGTAAGGGGATAGGATGACAGCGACGTAGAATAAGGGAACAAGTCAGAGTGGAAAATGTATTTATAAAGAAGCAAAGACAGTGGGAAGATCAAGAAAAATTGGCAGTGGGGAAGAGTTGACACCATGAGAGCAAGGATAAGACTAGTGACAAAATAGTACGAAGAAAAATATATATATATATTCGGGGACCACACATGAAGGACTCAGAGAACGCAAGGTTACAATTACTTGTTAGATAGTAATCTTTGTTACTCCTATTTACGCATATTTTTAGCTAGATTGGACATTTGGCAGAGGTCAATGGAATACCAAGAACTGATTGTCTTCTCTCTCTGTCTCTCTATTGTTATTTCTTTCCCTCATACCCTTCCTTCTCCCTTCTTCCCTCTGTTTCTCTCCCTCTCTCTGTCAATAACAAGACTATTTTCGATAAAATGTTTTATTACCAAATTAAGCCCAACATGAAATAATTACATCTTTGTAGCCATAATGCGGCTGTAAAGCCACGGCAAGTATGTAATCTTATAAATGTTATTGACATTATTATTATTGACATCTTACTGGGGACGCATTTGTAGACAAGCAACAAGTAGTAATGGTTTGCTTACCACCACAAAGTCGTCGTCTGAGATCTGGAAATGCATTGTTTATTTATTTATTCATCTATCTATTGTATATCGAATAATGACTCGAGTCTGGTAAGTCACGAGGTAGAATGGGTTGAATGGAACATAGATATAAACGTAGAAAAGACAAGAAAAACACTGACTGATCACTTCAGTTTTCCACCACACTCACCCTTACCCTTACCCTCCCATGCTCTTGCCTAGTATCAGTAAAGTCAGACGTATGGGGCATGAACTCCATGAACGCGCCATGAACGTGCTCGTTGTTTGTTACTCTAAGTCTATCGCACTTCCAGCAGAAGATCTATTGTTCTTTCTATTGCAACACCTCAATTATAATGATTGCATCCATGAAGGTTTTAAATAGATTAGAAAATAAAGGAATGAATACAACAAATAAATCACGTAAGATCTATGATGTTAGGTTTGCTGCAATGTTGCAAATATAAAATGAATTGTTTTCTCCTCGCAGGGAAGGCCATGGCGGAGCGTGACCGCATCGATGACGTCCTTTCGGTGGTTGGGTATGGCCGTTGGCAGATACCCATATTAATGGCTACCATTGTAGGTCCGTTTGCCGACTGTGAGGCCTCCCTCTCTGTTCGCAAGTAACACTTATGTTATCAGTGGTGACATGAGGGCAAGTACGTCCAACGTCTTCTCAGAACAATCGCCCGAAATTATAAACGCATTTTCGGAGAATTGATCTGAGATCCCCTTTGGACGCGCTTGCCCTCGTGTCATCACAGATACAAAGACTAACGTAACCTGTGTTCGGTATCCACAGCCAACACCATTCCTCTTCACTACATGGCCTCCTCGTTGCTGAGCGCACCCATGTCCTTCCGCTGTTTTGCGCCGGGAAGCTCCAACTCCTCGAATTCGTCCCTGATCGGGTAAGCGAGAGAGAGAGAGGGAGAGAGAGAAAGAGAGAGAGAGAGAGAGAGAGAGAGAGAGAGAGAGAGAGAGAGAGAGAGAGAGAGAGAGAGAGAGAGAGAGAGAGAGAGAGAGAGAGAGAGTTCATTTGTGTGTGTGTTTGATTATTTGTTTGTTTGTCTTTGTGTGTGTCTGTTCAAATGTAAAATGAAAATGATAAACTAAGATCAAACGTAGAGTCCATTGGGAAATAAGCTCCATAAACCAAGTGCATCCCACATCTATATGTAATTTAACCATATTATACAGAGAGAAGTTAAATTGCTCAGGAGAACAGCCACTTAGCGGGGACCAATGCCCATTATGAACCACTATTTGTCATATGTTGCTTACAATGTCTTACCTTCTATGGAGTATGTATGTGTGTGTATGTGTGTGTATGTGTGTGTGTGTGTGCGTGTGTGTGTGTGTGTGTGTGTGTGTGTGTGTGTGCGTGTGTGTGTGTGTGTGTGTGTGTGTGTATGTGTGTTTGTGAACATGTACATGTGTACGCACATACAACACACACACATATACAAACATACAAATATGATACATGTTTCCCTCCAGCGAACCAGACAGCCTGGACACCGCCTGGTTCAACGACAAGTGCCTGGACCCTCCCGACCCCGCCCACCTCGCAATTCCCGCCCACTCCGCCCACTCCGCCCGCCCCGCCCTCAGCGCCGTCGGACCGCTCTCCCGCCGTGCCACCGGGCTTCCCTCCTGCCCTGAGATTGAGTACGACTCCTCAGTCTACGCCCTGACTGTCATTTCGGAGGTAAGGGAGCTGGGGTTGTGCTGGTATTGATATAGTGATGGTGATTTTAATTCCGGTATTAATAATGAAGATAGGAATGCTAGAAATAGAAGAGTGAATGTGATTATAATCGTTACAGTGTGGTAGAAATGATAGTGATCGTAATAACAGAATACAATAGTAAGACTGATTATAAGGATTATGACTCTAACGACGATTATTATGATAATGATGATTTAGTACAACTGTAACAATAAAAAAAAAATCATGACATAAGAATAGCACCTATCACCATTACCATTATCATTATCATCATTTTTATTATTTGGAAAGCTTTTATACAACCTCTTTTAATTCTACCTTTTAATGATTGGTTAAGGCATTTGAATTAGCGTGTAAACCAGGGATGCTTGTGATTATGTAGTGTTTCAGTGTAAATGAGACTAAGATGAATATAATGCTGGTCACTACATAGACATGGTCTTCTAATTCATCCCAGCCAACAAGGGGATTTGGCACTTGAAATTAGTCCATAAAACACTACCCTTGATTTTTTCCTCGAGTCAAATCAACAATATACTTGCCTTCGAAAGCTTGTCCTAATAACAATAACTTGCCTTTAATCATTTCGCGAAAATGTACTGCTCTTTGACTGAAACTATATTGAAACCTGTTCCATTTTACACTGAAATCTGCTACTGAATTTTCCTCGACTGAACGCTGAACCTTGCACTTGAGAACTAACCAATCTTTGAAGTTACTCTGTGTACGATTTGAATTAACAATAACACTTGCTTGTCCAGCTATCTACGAAACTTGAATTTAACGCAATGATTCTTAACCGAGGGTAGTTATACTCTCTGGGGATGAAGAATTGTAGAACAGAAAATATATCTATAGTAATATATATCTTCTTGATTTAACTAACTTTTTAGAAGAATATTACTTGTGTTATTTTCCTCTATTATCAAAATGAATCGAAATGTAATTTGGTGTAACATTCATTTTTCTAACAATTTATAAATGGTTTCTTTTATTTCTTCCTGGTAATATATATTTTCTTGACTTGAGTATTACTTATGTAATTTTACTCTATTTTCAAAATGAATCGAATGACAATTTGTTTAACATTCATTTCTCTAATAATTTTATATATATATTTTTTATCCCTTCCCCATGATATTTGTACCCTTGTGCTGCCTTATATCTATTAAGGGACTTTAGGCATCTTTATATATAAGCACAGATTGTCTCTTTCTACGATTTGCGGAAAGGATTAATAAGGTGGAAGAATTATAACATTATTACACGACATATATATATTTGGTAAATAATCTGAGGCACACAGCGATACAAAAATGAAGTAAACGTGAATTAAAAATAGAAACAGATTGATGACTCAGTGGATCTGGTGCCTCCCCCCCCCCATATATATATATATACACACAATTATCCATTACCCACTACAGTGTATGACTGTATTATATCATAGTGTGCTCTAGAAAGTATTACGAAATACATTCTTTATTAATAGTTTACAATATCTTGATTTTCACGTTATTGTAAATTAGAGTCAACCTGCGCGCAGCAGCAGGGGCTCACCTACAGTATCACAGCACAATACCTACTTAAGAGAATGTTATGGTTGTGTGCATTTCATAATACAACAAAAATTACCAGCTGTTGCTTCGCTCTTCAGCTTTACTAGGGCAGTTTACATTAAGTTGGCAGTCTACAAATGCAAAATTACTGGATTGCAACACCCAATTCTCTCAGTTCCTGTGCAACATGTGAAGTGCACACTCTGATATTGAATAATAAATCATATAACTAACCTTCCCGCCTTGACTCTCACACAAAAGTAAAATAAAATGTAAATGTGTATTGCATATACAACACATTCTACTCTGAATAATGCCATTTTATTAATAGATGTGATCTGACAAATCATATCACGACTGACCTTACAGTCTTTGATTAAGTACGACAGTAACACATGACGGTATGATCCAAATAGGCCTGGTGCCATGATACCATTTAACAAATATATTTACTGTTTCTAGAATTCCGTATTTGTGAAAACATTATAAACACAGCAGTGATTCTGTAACAAAAACTGGTTTATCGTGGAAATACAGCTGAGAAGGAATGCTAATGAAATAACATCCAGCCGAGGTCCTAATTACAAAGGAAAGGTTAAGAGAATCACTGGCATGATGGAGTGGCGAAAACGCTGGCTTGGTTTTCCAGTTTGACTTGGTGTGCGACAGGGAGCACTTGCGGCCGTTCTTCCAGATGGTCATAACGATCGGCGCCATTGTGGGGTGCTTCGTCGGGGGATCCATTGGCGACAGGCGAGTGTGTGTGAGTGAGTGAGTGAGTGAGTGAGTGAGTGAGTGAGTGAGTGAGTGAGTGAGTGAGTGAATGAGTGAGTGAGTGAGTGGATGGGTGAGTGAGTGAGTGAGTGCGTGTGTGAGTGAGTGAGAATGATGTCTGTGTATTTGCGTACGTTTGCTAGTATATGTGTGTACTTGTGTTTGCGTACATGTGCATGTATTCTGCAGTATGTGTTAGCATGTTACAGCCATGGTGAAGACAGCAGTAGCTAAACCTGCCTCGCCCCCCCCTCCAGCATGGGTCGCAAGAAGGCCATGCAGATCGGGTGCCTTCTGGGTTTGCCTGCGTGCCTGGCTGTGGCGTTCGTCCCCTGGCTCCCCGCTGTGCTGGCGCTGAGGTTCGTCATGGGCCTCTCGGTAAGGATGATCATGCTCTCCACCATCAATCTTAGTAAGTTTCCAGTTTCGTTTATCGCTTCATAATTTTCGCGGGTTTTCTTGCTTAGAAATAATGTTTTGTTCGCAGCTTTTGTTATTGTTGTTATTATTATTATTATTATTATTATTATTATTATTATTATTATCATTATTGTTATTATTATTATTATTATTATTATTATTATTATTATTATTATTATCATTATTATTATTATTATTATTATTATTATTATTATTATTATTATTATTATTATTATTATTATTGTTTTACTATTATTACTATTAATTAAGAACGACGCTTTCCTGCCTCCAAGAAAAATACAAAATGGCGTTATTGAGAACTATGGGACTTTCCTGCCCAGGTTTTGCATTTTAATATCAAAAGAAGGTTAAATGCGGTGTTTTGTTTTATAAGTGTCTTAACACTTAATATTTTCCTAGACATTAAGTTTTTGTTCCGCAGTAAATAGTGGCGATTATTCTGTTACGGTACTTCATGTGATTAAAATTTTCATAATTAAAACTCAATTTGCATTATTATCTTTTTTTTTTGTAGGGGGCGGGGTGGAAATGAATGGTCTCCTGGCTTAAAATTTGTAGATTAACTGAACATTTTTAAATGTTTGTGAACTCGGTTATAGTTTTATCATCATTCCTTCCAGAAGACAAGGAGACAAAACGGATAACTCTATTCATCCGTTCTAACCACCAAAAATAACGTAATCGTTGAATTGCACGTAAGTTAAATAACATCCACCCAATTTTAGCGATGCATCAGTAATACCGATTTCTGTAAACGCCCTTTTCCCCTCCCTAAGCCATGGAAACCTGCCCACCACGTTACCGCACTCTCATCGGGATGTTCATGGGGCTTCCTTACTCCGCCTGCGTCATCCTGTTCGCGTTGGTGGGCTACTTCATCAGCCACTGGCGCTACCTGCAGCTGATCTGGACCTTGCCCTACCTGATCATGGCACCCATAACTCTGTAGGTTCTCTAATATGCATATAACCACATTGTATATATATTTGTATATATTTATGTATATGTATGTATATATATGTCTGTACATGTGTATAAGTATATATGTACACATCTATCTCTGTGTCTAAACATATGTATAAATATATGCTAGGTATTTTTTTCTGTCATGAGTCACGATTGATACGGAGG